GGGGGGGGAGATTAAAATTTGAACCGTCGGAAAGCCATGAAATATATTTAAATTTGGCATGCTTAGCTTCCTTTCCCTTTCAACTTCCGCGTCTGCCTGTCAATTAACGCTGTTATAATTTACCTAAAAATCAGCTTGTTAAAATTATCTGAACTTCCTCATAAGCAAATAATGGTTGCTACCTACACTTTCCGATCGCTAAGTTCCTTTTCCTGTTTTATCTCATATTTTCCGAAGACGGGCTGCAAGAAACATAATAAATTTTGCCTATCCAGGGCCCATTAGGCGAGCTGGACAACTTGCTATTCAAATTGACATTAGTTTTTTTGCGACCGTGGAGAAACCAACGCAGGTCTATATACTAGTTACAATCACGGTAATAAGGCTTTGGTTATTCGATATTTTTTGTATTTTCATAAATTTATTTCGTCAGCAATAAATTACAGTCAAGTGTTATTTGACTTCTTTAATTAATTCTATAAGCTAAACAAAATTAAAGCGATATCTGAGAGGGATTTAAATGACATTACATTTGACAAATGAAAGGTTTGACCTTTACCATTTTCCGCATAATTTAAGTTCGTTATGTTACAAGCGTAGCCATGATTTATCGTCTATAAAACGTCAATATACAGTGGGTGAGAAATCGACGATAAATTTCCTCAGAGCTGTAATATCTTGCTAGCTCTGTAAATATTGTGTAACTTTTATTGTATTCTATATTTAATCAATAATGCGTAACTTTACTAAATTAATATTGCCGCCGATCTATGCGAGGACGTCTGCAGCTAGAAATGACGGGAATAGAATATATAGAGAGACCTCGCAAAAGCAAACTTCAATTTAGTCGAACAAAAATTTCAGGCAAACGAAAGGGAGAAATTGAGCTGCCTAATGGATAAAAGTTTAAGTCATACTTATACCCGGATGTAAAACCTTGAAAATCTACCGTATATCTTCACCTTTTGCCTACAATTCAAGTATTCAATTCTGGTGTCATCAACAAGCATGCCGTTTTATGTTGCGGAGAATGATTTAAATCTTTGGAAGTGCGAAAGTCAGTCAAAAAGAAACACGGCTTTTCGTTACCGTTCTAAGACTTGTTTTCAGACATCTTTGTTGATTTTGAGATTTAGTCCTTGCTTGATCACTGCTAAAACTTGAATATATCGATGTTTCCAATTAAATTCCAAAGTTGTACGTATTATTTTTGTAATTTCCCGCTCGTCGTCATCATCGCAGCTTTGCATCGAGGAATGAGAATTTGCACTGATCCAGGCAGGCAACAAGATATTAACCAATCAGTGAATCATGAAACCAATCTAAAAATTTGCAACTTTTGGGAAATCCTTTATGATTTTTGTGACATCCGTGCAGATATGTTACAAAAATAAACAAATTAAATATTATATTGTTATATGATATGTCATATCTGGATATAAATTCCATTGTATTCACTTTTGCAGCTGATTTTTATTTCCCTCTCCATTCCCTGGCTCATTTCCATCATCTTCTTCTCCATATTCGACACGAAATGCATCGTTTTTGAGCAAGCTTCAGTGGTCAACTGCACTCAAGATTTCTTTACCTCGAATCCCAAACACTGGGTCTTTGCTTGGCTCTTGATGTCAATCATATCGTCATCCCTTCTCCTTCGCATCGTACACCTGAATCACACGAAGTTAAACTACCAAACTGAGAAAGCAAAGAAGATCCTCAAAAAAGGCTACTTTGGTTCATTAATATTTCTACTTCTAATTTCATTGGTGTACTACGTATTTCGTATTTACACTACCAGATCGGAAAAGACGAGCGTGTCCATTTCAATCCTTGTGTTCCTGTGGCCTCCTGTCACTGTACTGCTCATCTGCTGTTTAAATTACCTGCCTCGCGTACATTGGACGGGAACAAGCCTACCACGTTTCACTTTGTTATGGTGGAAAGATTGTCTGGCCAAAAATTCCAATTTTGTCATTTACTGGTTAGCTCTCTTCATGTATTTTGTTGAGATAAGCTGTAAAGTTGCCTCCATCATGCTCGATGTAGCACTTGAAGTAGCCCCTCTGCTCCAACACAATTTTCCAGATAAGTCTGGGCACTTCCGGGGAATGCTGGTAATAGTAATTGGATTCAGATTGGCGTTCCACTTACGCCTTCTTTCCTTTTTCTGGCAAAAGCTTTTCCATGGAGAAAAGGATCTGTTCTCAGAGCCGAATGACAAATTGCTTGATGAACCGTTGGTACGAAAGCAACAACATGATGAATTGGAAAAAACTGTACAATTGGAAGAAATTATTTCTACATAAAAGATGCAGACTGTTTTTGTACATTAGCTAGTTCTCAAGTTCAATCTTGGACAAAACAGTAACATTAATTAAAGTGGTTATGCTGTGAAGTTTCACATCATTTTCTTGGAATCGTATTGTGAAGAAAATTTAAAATGTAGTTTCCTAGCGTACTTTGTTCTAGCACGATAAATAAATGACAAGTAACTGCTTGTTTATATTGGTGGTTTGCAATCAGTCCATTGGGATTTAGAGCACAGAGATATGGCAGCCATGCCAGAAGAAAACACGCTCCAAATCCAATAGCTGCCAATGATATTCTTTTGTGAGCGTTCCTCAAACATGGCCGCCATTATGTCAGATGCAAACAAAGAATAAGTAAAACCAATTTTTTGCAGTAATTCGCATTTCAGTAATTTGTATGTGGGTTGGTTTAGATTAAACTAATGTTGTTTATTACATGACTGGCGTGGTGTTCTTTGTTACTCATAAGGCTTATAAATTTAAAATACCAGTTGAAGGCTATTTAAAGGCTATATCTACATGGTGTTGCATAGCACTATGATGAACCGACGGGTGCGTACAACAAAGTACGTAGGAGAAGTATGACTAATTAGTAAATTGACAATGTTTTATGCAGTAATGCTCCTTGATACGATTAAAAGCATTTTTAGATTCTCAGGAGCAGAAAAATCTTGTGCTTAGCAACAGTATAGCTTGATTTCGAAAAGTCTCGTGTTTTTTATTCTGTAAGGCCTTCGAATATTATATATAGAGAGATCTCTTACAGCTTTTTAATTTGTCTGATACTGATTTCGAGAATTTTTTCTCGAAATTATCAGACAAATTAAAAAACTACAAGAGATTAGACCTGCTTTACAGTCAAAACACACACATATTATATGACTAACGAAATGACAAGCAAAACAAGCACCAACTCCTGAGAGGGCTTTCGACTGCATTCCTCAGCCAGCGAATTAAATTATGTATCATGCATAAATTATACAATGGCCTAACTATACGCATTTAGTTTATTCTGCATTTCTGCCCGGCAAAGCAGGACAAACCTCAATCAAATTTAATCAATTTGTCCTTGGGCAATGTACACTATTGGGCGAAATACAGGCCCAAGACAAAGCACTCGAGCAGGCAGACGTAGCCCTAATGACTAATTTATATACAGCTGATTCAGTTAAGGTTGTCCTTCCAAAACCTTAAACCTTAAACTTTGACCGTGCAAGGGATGATGGGTTTTCACATATTAATCCCTTAAACTCAGAAAATTGTCTTTGCAGCAATTATGTTTTCTGTCGTGAATCTTATATATGTCTTATAGGTATTCCTGCAAAGCCAAATTTCAAAGTTTATGAGTCTAAATAAGCAATAACCCATCATCCCTTGCGCGCTCAGAGTTTAAGGTTTAGGCTTTTGGAAGGACAATCTTAATTGAATTAGCTGTGTACTGTATAGCATAGGCAACAAACGACCCTCGATCGAAACGTTGACGTTTGGCTTATATTTTTCAGATAATTGTATATATCCTTCAGAAAACACCTACAAGTCTTGAATTTAAGACTATAAAATGTTTCATACAATATCATGTTTCATATCACTTGAAACGACATCATGATATTATAGTCTCGCTTGACTTCCAAAAAATGATGATGTCATTCCGTGAAGTGGTTGGGATTTTCCCATGTCATTTATTGACCCGTGCTCGCAAAAATATGAATATTTAATTCACAGTAATTATATGGTTTGATAGTTACACTGGACAGACCTCGTTCTGTCAACTGAGAACAAAGACGAAATGGCTGATCCCACCAGCGATGCAGAGACACATAAGACATTCGAAAGCGTTGTTTCGAGCCAAATCGAAGGCCAAGCGAAAGTTCAAGAAAATGATTCAAATATAGAAAACGGTAGACAAGGACGAAATCACTTTGGGAACAAATTGAGAATTTTAATTCGTTCTGATCGCGTCGACATATTTTTGAAGGTACTGTACTTCACTTCATTGTCTTTGAGTTGGTTTACAAATTTTATATTTTTGCTACAAAAGAAATATTACATTCTAGTCGTTTATAAGGAAAGATTGGATGAAACTATACTCACTGCTTTTGAAATTAAATAATTTATAGACTTAATCAGCCGATGAGATGACTTGTAAACGAAATGCTACCACCGTCAATTATCATATTATTTATACCGTTTTATCGATATATAAATCTAAACGTTTTTAATGACCTTCGGTATACATTTTATAGAACTCCTATATTTTATAGAGACTTTTAGTTACTCCAACACGGAAATGATTTATGTTATATAAATAAAACGAACTAACGTGTCGGTTAGCGATTTATATACTACGTACGTTGTCGTCTCGAAATTGATGTATATTTTCCGTTCTGTAAACCCAAGAAAGCTTTTAAACAAAAAGCAAAGACAATTATTTAAAAACGCAATCATATCCACATGGTGCTACATTGTTATATTTGACTGCTCAAGTGAAAGTTTTTGAGTCATTTCAAGACTTCCTGATTTATCTCGTGTTTACCCATGCATGACGGGTTGCGCATGCATGCATGTCATCCGTTGCTAAGTGAAAGTTGAATGATATGCAAAATTTTAGTTGTACAAATTAACCTCTTGGTTAGTGAAACTATTCTACAACACCATTTATATAATAAAATGTTAACAGAGTTTTGGGTAGCTAGTATATAAAGTAAATGACGAGCTATTTAGTCATTTAATATGCCGGAAAACAAAATGTATAAATATTAAATAAACAGCACCGACAAGTATGTTATAGGGAAAGTACATTTTATTATGCCGAGGGGGGGGGGAGGGTGAAGATGTTAAGGGGGGCACCGAAGTATTTTTGGGCATTAAAGGGGGAGGGGGGCTCTGAAAGTTCTCAATATACTGAAGGGGGGAGCTATAAACTTTTCAAAGTTTTGGTCCAGCAGGGGCCTGGAGTGTTCACTCCCACGGTAGTTAATAGAATAGATGGTTTGGAAACTCATTAGATTAACAATATAACTCATTATCTATGTTAGTGAACATTCATAAATTCATTCATAAATCTGGTCTCTTACCGTCACGTGCGTATTGCATTTGGCCCGATTAACCAATAGCAACGTTTTAGGAAAGTTACCTATCCATGACTCAAACAATAGGGTAAATTGAAAATTTGTATTGGTGGACATGGCAAAAATATAATACACACGTGGCGGTGAAGGAACATATCGTTCTTTATACTACAAATCGTATGTTCTTTGTTTTTGGAATTGCTACTTCTTGGCGGGTAACTTACGTCACAAACTTGACGCCAAAAAATTGAAAATAAGCTATTGATGATTTTATAAATCCATTTATATAGAAGAGCGGACTAATGGTACTTTAATTAATTAAAAATGTAATATGTTTCTAAATACAACCATTTTATGGGAAGACATAGCGATGCAAATGTCGAAAAATCTGCCAAATTGTTACTAAAAATAGAACAAAATGGCTGATTTTTAGAAATTTAAGTCATTGTATCCTCGCAAGGAATAATTGTCAGGGACGTAGCGACCGGGGGCGTAGGAGGGGGTGTAACACTCCCCCCTACTGTGAAATTCAGGCAAAAATTATGTAAAATTCAAGATAAATTTTGACATTTTCAGGTAAAATTTGCGTAATAAAGTAATTATTTTTGTGAAATGATAACCATTTTTGTAAAACAGTCAATTTACAACCAATTTGTTTGAAAATTTGCTTTAGAAAACGCCAGAAATTCAGTCCTAAGAGCTTCAAATATATAAAATTTTCTGGGGGAGGACACACAGAGCCCCTTTTTTCCTAGTATGATAGTGAAAATCAATCACAAAAAGATTTATTATAATTATGACACTTCAGGTAAATTTTTAACATTGAAATTCAAATTTCAGGTATAATCCTCCGACATGCCCGCCCCCCAACTTCAGATGCTTCGCCACGTCCCTGATTGTTGTATTTCGAGACCGATATCCGTTTTAAGATATAATTAGTCTGCTCTTCTAAATTGATACATGAAATCACCTATTTTTATTTTTATGGCACCAGGTTTGTGACGTAATTTATCCTCCAAAAAGTAGCAGTTCCAAAAATAAAAAAGCCCATACGATTTCTAAGAATGATATGTTCATGGGATATTTAGTACAAACGGGATGAAAATGAAAGAAATTGAAGCATACTGGCGCTTTTGCATGCATTTTTGACAGGCATACATGCAAAGAAATTTGCAACAGATGCCAGGAGATACGTTGGGCGGGGGCGAGGTTCTCTAGGGTTCCAGCACATTACCCTGATCCAGGAAATCCCGGCCACTACATGAACGTGTTCAAGACTCCGACTATGCTGAATGATGGACAACAACAACCTGTTGATAATTTTGCACCTAGAGCCAATCTGAAATGGATATGATTTTAAAGACCGTGCCATTTCATCTGGCAATAGTGAGGTGAAAGAAGCTGAAAGTCGGTATTTTTGTTGAGGAGAATTAAGCATGTGCTTGAGTATATCAGACATCTTGAGGAACTGCAATTTGTATCTGCCATAAGAGAGAATTCCAGATTGTACTCCTTCGATTCTGGATTCTTGAGGGGGGGTGGGGGGGCATTGAAAATTTTAAAAACTTGGAGGGGAGGCATGAAAAATTTATCGATATCCTCAACAGGAGCCCTGTAAAAATATGAGCTTTTTTCACGACATCTTCACCCCCCCCCCCCTTCGGCATGATAAATGTACTTTCCCTTAGTTCGCTTCATTTAATTTAACTTTTATTTCTCGAAAGAAACCAATAAATTTGTGGCTGCTTTCACTGTATTTTTGTTACAGATGGTGTCACATTCCTCCTGACCATCGGCAAATGTAATTTACAGCTCTTCGATTACTTATTTGTTGCTATATGATGTCTCATATCTATATCTAAATTGCCATAATATTCATTTGTAGGTCCTTTACGTCCTTCTTTGTATTCCCTTGTTAATTTCAACCGTCTTCTTCTCCATATTCGATACAAAATGTGTGGTGTTTGAGCAAGCTTCTGTGATCAACTGCAGTCAAGAGTTTTTTATCTCGAACCCCAGGTACTGGGTCTTTGCTTGGCTCTTGATGTCAATCATATCGTCATTCCTTCTCATTCTTATCGTTCGTCTGAATCACAAGAAGTTAAACTACCAAACCGACAAAGCAAAGAAGGTTTTCAAAAAAGGCCACGTTGGTTCGTTAATATTTTTACTCCTGATTTCGTTGGTATATTACGTTATTCGAATTTATACAACCAGATCAGAAAAGACGAGCGTGACAATTTCAGTTCTTATATTCCTTTGGCTTCCTGTTACCGTCCTGCTTATCTGCTGTTTGAATTATCTGCCTCGCGTACATTGGACAAAAGCAAGTCTATCCCGTTTCACTTTGCTATGGTGGAAAGATTGTCTGACCAAAAATTCAAATTTTATCATCTACTGCATTTTGTGGAGGTAACCAGTAAAGTTGCCTCCATCATGCTCGATGTGGCACTTGAAGTAGCCCCCCTGATCCAACACAACTTTCCAGATGAATCCAGGAAATTCCGGGGGTTGGTAGTGATCGTGATCGGTTTCAGATTGGCGTTCCACTTACGAATCCTTTCCTTTTTCTGGCAAAAGCTTTTTCATGGAGAGAAAGATCTGTTCTCGGAGCCGAATGAGAAACTTGTTTACGAACCGTTGTTGGGACAAAAGCAACAACATGATGAATTGGAAAAAACTGTACAACTGGAAGAAGTCATATGTACATAAAGAGAACTGTCTGTATCTATATGCGTAATTCTCAATTTCTCATAATTCAATGAACAAAACCGATATGTCCAAATAAAATATATCGCTAAACGTACGGCGTTCTTAACCTACTTACATTTCTCCATGCGACCAAAGCATACATTACTCTATTTAAAGTAAATATGTATGCAGTGGACACTGAACATCTTTTAGTGAAATATTGTATATAGTGATATATTACTGCGGAAATTACTGATCAAAATATTCAAAAACCGATATATTTGTCAACATGAGCTCCTCCTTTGAATTTACTATATGAGTAAAGAGTTAAACACGTCCGAATTTATCATCATGATATAAGTGTTCGCGGCACATTTTGAATTTTGAATAGAGTTAATCATAAAACCAAAAGCATTAGACAAGACTTTTTGTTATAAATGTAAGCCATACTAAAAGGAAGTTAGGGAGGCTGGTTGCGCGGGAGTTGGGAGATTTTCAAGGTTTTCAAAAGAAAAGTTTAAAAAAGTTAGATTTTCAAAAAAGTTAAAAAAGTTAGATAGGGTTAGGATTAAGGTTAGGGGTTAGTGGTTAGGGTTGGGGTTAGGGTTAGTGTTAGGGGTTAGATGCCGCGAATTTACGATTATGATAAATTCGAAATGTGCCTTGAGTTTATCATAATGATAAGTTCGGACGAGTTTAAGAATTTACTCGAATAGTAAATTCAAAGGTGGAGCTCATGCGATATATTTGTATCATAATTAATAACCTACCTTTACTCTAATAAAATGTTCATTTAATTTATATTATCAGTATTGAGCACAGTTCTCTATGTTTCTGACCCAGCAGACTCCATTGTACGCTACATCGTATCTATTTCTGTGCTTGTGAGTTTAAGGTGGTGTTGATAAAATGTAGTGTCAGATTGACAAAAGTCACAGTCATTGAGGTTGTCATAGAGATTGTTAAGGTTAAGTAAGAAGTTCGCGTGTTAATACTCTGTCGAAAAATTGAAATAGCATTTTTGAGTGGATCGAAATGTTCTCAACTAAACTTAGCAAATTAGTCGATTCGCGCGGAATAATCGCTAGTTGAAAACCGGCTTTACGATATATTCAAAACAAATTAACTCTGATCAAAGTCAGCAGTACTTTAAAAGTCAGCAGTACTACAAAAGTCAGCTACTGAACGTTTGCCCTAGAATCGATTTTTTTACAATGGATGACTGGATTGATAGACAGTGCATCTGTTGAAATGCCAAAAATAGATACATTTGTGGCTAAATAACTACCGTAAAGGCTATATTATTCACTTCCACGTTTGTATTCTAGACTTTAATATTTGTATATTGTGCAATGAGATGCTGCATACTATTTATATTCGAACCTGTACGCAACTCCAATCGCATTATAAACTACTACACAGTCTATAAGCGCCATCGGACTCTAAAGCCGCAGTTATAAAAATATTCATTTTACAGATTACTTGGAAGGGCAGTCTTAATTTTCGTACTTAAACTTTTTTTGCGTTTATACACGTACTGCACTATGAAAATTAAGAGTGCCGTTCCAAAAAGGATTGTAGTTTAAACGGAGCTTTAATATTTATAGAATAGTATCATCAACGGCTACACAGGCATTTTTTACGGCTATTTCTCTTCTTAGAGCCTATATTATTGAGCGATTTATGTGCACATGCAGTAGTGTAAACATTGCAGGTTTCAAATTATCCCAGTCATTGTGCGGGTAGTTATGTACTGTTTAATAAACTCGCAGGTCGTGTTTTATTAGGTCTAAAGCCGCTCGCGCGGCTTCAAACACGACTACAAATGCAATAGATATACTGCCTTATTAGTATTCTTTATATAAGGAATACTAATGGGACAAGACTACAATAGATACTGCCTTATTAGAATCCTTTATATAAAGAATACTATTTAGGAGTGTTTTATCAGGTTTAAAGTCACTGCACGTGACATATTATGGTTGACATGATTTGCCAATAAGCTTATGAATTATTAATGAGTGTTTGAAAAAAGTTTACCAAAACTGTTTTATTGTCCCTGTATTGGTAATATATCACAAATACTAATAGTGTAAACACTATTAATATTAATAAGACACTAATTTCGAATTTTATCACGAATTCTGATTATTATGGCAGTCACTATAGAAATATCTCCTTTTGGCAAGACAAATGTACGCAGTGCGTATCTATTTTTATTTTTGAAACAAGTTTTTTTGAGAATTAAGAAAATTGGCTCTCGCAATTTTTTTAAAATGTTTTTATTTTAAATAACGTTACATTCCTTCATATGTGCAGAAAAGGAAAATATTTCATTGATGGAATAATTAAATTCAAGAAATCTAAGAAAGAATGCAAAAATACAACCTTTTTGAAATTACCTTATTGCCATAGAACCGAAAATGGCTAACAATAGTTTTTGCATTTTGTAATTCTTAGTGTCTAGGCAATGTGATGAGCGAGTTTCGTGAGAATATCTGGCAAAGTTAAGAATAATGGGTCTTTTATACACAATTGTACCCTATAACATTGCTTTATCTTGTTCGCACTGGACGTAAGTGTATTTCGTTTGGTTGTCGTCGTATTGTTGTGCTTGTTCCACACATCATTCTCTGAAACAGACTTTTGAAAGCCTCTCTGTACGTTTGGTCCAAAAGGGCATAAATTAATAGATTACACAGACTGTTAAAATAAGGAAGTGTGACTATTACTAATTCAGCTGTCTCCTTCCGACGCAAGTAGATTAATGATCTTCTATTCTTATCATACAAATTTGGATGGTAGTACCAAAGCAATGTATAAATAAAGAAAGGACCCCAGCAAAGTATAAACACTCCCACGACAATCAATAACATTCAGATAACCTTCAGATCTTGAAGAAAGGAACTTCGTTGGTTCTGATTATTACCAGTTTGACCCAATTCGCCATTTCGCAGCATATTTCGTCGTTTACGAACAACAACATAAATGAGAAAGTACATAATCAGTATGACTACGGTGGGTAGAAAAAACGCACTTACGGCCTGAAAAGTATAGAATCCTTTCGTTTTAATTATATCGGAGGGGCAATAACCGTCACTTACAAGGAAGATTCCCCAGCTTCCTGAATGAGGAGTGGCGGCGTAGGCGGCAAAGGCTGTTGAAATGAAGCAAACGATAAAGATGATGTTCAATGATCTGGAAGTTGTCATTGTCGATCTGTACTGAAGTGGTTTTCTCATTTTAAAGTATCGGTCGAAGCTGATGAACGTTAGTACATAAATAGATGTTGTTAACGTGAAGGCCTATTAACACTATAAAACGACATTGATGAATAGACATGGCACGTTTCGATTCAACATCGAGATTGCGTCGATACACATGTAGTGGTGCTGCAGACATACCAACCAAAAGATCAGCGACAGACAGGCAAGTAATGAAATATTTATTTCGTTGATGAAGGATTCTTTCTATCCATGTTGCAACCAAAGCCATAGTATTGCCCAGAACGGTAAAAATGGCGAAAAAGATAAATATAATTGTCTCTGCTAATTTAAGCTGGTTCCGAAATTCCATTAATTTCGTCAGCTCACTCTCCGTCAAATTGTACATCACTGAGGAATTTGACCCTGAGTAATAGCCTAAATAAGAATAGTACACACTAATCGCGAGACAAATTTTATGTGATATCCCAAATTATCAAGTTTCCTGTAAAGGCCATGCATGCAGACCGAGCGCGATTCGAAAACGCGACGCGAATTTTCAGTTTTTAAAAAAAATAAAACCGTCAACGGATAAAAATTTTACAAGATATGCAGACCAAATAGCTACATAACCTATTTTGTAACTAATTTTATGTAATATAGTGTATTGGGTTGATATGGCAAAATCTATAAAAGAAATGAATAAATAAAATTTTAACTGGTTCCGAATATTTGAAAAACATAGAAAAATATTTAAGTTAAATGTCATTGAAAATTGAAAATTCGCGTCGCGTTGCCGAATCGCATCCGGTCTGTTTGGGCCTTAAGTGCTATCAATCTCGCGTCTGGCTCGATTGATAACACTTACCTCAACCTTAATAATTCTGAATATAACAAACACCTCATTCAATATATCTGTTTATTATTATTTTTAATTTAAAGATTCATACTAGTTTCTGATTGCTAAGATCTAACAGCGAAAACGGCATATTAACTCAATAGCTGACCAAATATGGAGTTTTGGCATCATATTTAACGGACTGACGTCATAACGTTGAATATGAAAAAAATCATATAATTTCACGCTTTGGAAATACGACTACGAAATTTGGGAGTAGCTTCCTCCGCAGGCATCTCACCCGCGGAATCGGGTGGTGGCCATAAATCGACACAAAAATTTGCACTGCGCATACCGGCTCGCGCATGCAAATTTCGACAAACTCTAACTTAGGGCTTAGCAAAACGATGGCTTTTGATAGTACAAGACGAGTAAAACTGTAATATTAACAAAAAATACTGCTCTTTAACATTGTAAATTCACAGGGAACTTTGACCATGGAGCAGAGAACGTTATCGCCGAGGCAGCGAACGTTATTTATTGTTTAGAGACAACGAGTGGCTTTGCAGAGCAGTGAATTTGCGTTGTCGTCGATTCATGTCAAGACATGGTCTCAATTGAAAGTTTATCGTTGATATATACAAATTTCTACTCAAATTGTTGACGACATTTTATAGCATAACAAGCTGAAAGTGCTGCAGTGATTTAGTCGAAATTATAACACGAAAAGGAACGAGCGAAGATTGTGAATATAAATGTGACTGTGCCTTCGGTATTAAATATATACCTCTTGCTTTGTATGCCATAAAGGAAAATCATTACAAGTAATAATTAAAATTAAGTCTTTGAAACAAAGAGCTTTCTTATTGTGGAATACACTGTGCAATTTATCCCTTGGACAAAGACTGACTTGAGTCAGTTGAGTGTCTCAGGTGTGGCGAAAATTAGCAAAAGCTTTCTTAAATCAATTGCCCTGTTTATTACTTTATATGGGTGTGAATTACCTAGACATAAGGGGAAGGGCAACTGGAATTTAATAAGAATCTAATAGTTTTCCAAGTGACGATTTATGTGGTGCGACAGGGTATAAAGGACTGTCTCAATAACATTTGCCTTGGATATGTTAATTAACCAATGGAGACATTAGATTCCATCTTGCTTGCCAAAGTTCACTGGCAAAATATTTACATGGCTAATATCCATTTTGCAAGGCAAATTTCCCTGTAACCAAACAAACAGTCACTGAGGAAACTTCCCAGTGATAGCTAGTGTTTTGCTATTGTTACATTACACAGCAACCACCCTGTCCCAATATAGAATTCCTAAAAGACTTTCAGTGGTGGCTATATATTAACTGTAAGCTGTGACAAGTTTACAACAATGAATACATTTGGTAAGCTTTAGATTAACCATTGTCTGCCACTCTCCCATTGAAGAGTAAAATTTCATCTGATGTTAGACAGAGTAAAAGCAGGGGCGTGCCAGGGTTGAGACAACGAGAACTTGTTGTGGGCCCCTGGCATTGTAGGCTCTTACATGATATAGATGACGATCTAGATTTACTATATTTTAACTCAATATATGTCAAGAGCAATTTTATTTGAACATGAACAAGGGAGGTACATATAATTAGATAAAATACAGATACTTCATAAATTCTTTTATTTATAAAATCATGGATGTCATGTGGTCAGTATCACAACTAGGTATATACTCAGTGGTGCCTAAATTACTTTGAATTTGTACTTGAGTAAAAGTAGAAGTAATTAGCAATAAAACGACTTGAGTAAGAGTAAAAAATACTGGAGGCAATACGTACTTCAGTAAAAAGTAATAAAGTACCCTTAATTTAAAAAATACTCGAAGTACAAAGTAAAAGTAAAAGTACTATTGTCTGTAGCGTGTAAGAAGGGGGGGGGGGACTTCTCCAATTAATTTACATACAAAATACACAAGACAGCAAGCGCTTTTATATGCGTGCACCTAATATACAATATTTCACAGCATGGTCTACTTTTCAGACCCCATTGAAAATATAAGAAATCCATTAAATGAATAATGCTTATAAGTAAGCCACAAACGAGAGATCCCAGACGCATGTAGAGGTAGACGCATGTACCTATTACCTATCCCAACTTTAAAATAAATCAGGAATAAATCACGTAAAATTAAACAAAAGTTAAAAAGTAACGAAATACTTCGCCACAAAATGAAAATCACGAGGTAAAACGATACTTCTTAAAACAACTTTGATCCAAGTAAAAGTACTGCAGAAAAAGTTCACTTTGTTACATGTTTACTTCTCAAAAATAGTACTCAAGTACAGTAACGAAGTACATTTACTTCGTTACTTGACACCACTGCATATATACTATATTAGTATAAACCTATCAGTAGGCTATCATGCATCGTGCGTTCTGATTGGCTACGCTACTAGTAGGCTATTAGTGATAGCCTACTAGTAGCAACAAGCGGCGTAGGGCGCGAGAGTCAATGGCCGTTTTTAAGTTAAAAAGCTGCATTTGAATGGAAAAGCTGATCAAAAATGGCCTAATTTTTGTTCTGGATTAGCCAACTATTGAAGCCAACATGCGGTAAAATTTTTACGTTTTCTCAATTTTGCTCGGTGTGTTTTGAACATGAAGTGACAGGCGATTTTTAAAAATATATTCAACAATAGTTTGTAGCTACTTACCACTAGTTTCTCAACCTCGTTAGTTTGTGCTTGTATTAAGTACGAGTTCATATATTTAGCTGTCATTTTAAAGAGTTTTTTCGTTTAAATGTTGAAATTTTGGCCGAGTTTGTTTTTCGCCTTTTTCGAGCCTTTTTATAATCGAGTTTTTCGATTTTAATCTAAACTATTGTCTATGTATACTATAGATGATGGAAATGGTTGGCCTCCTTATGTTCCAGATATTTTAAAAATTTCAACGCGGACATTCGGATTCTTTTGTGTGGATTTTTATTTGGCTTTTTAACGTAAACTTTATTTAGTAACAGTTTGCGAAGCCATTTTGTTTTCGAAATTTTGGATTTTTTGATATAATCAAAATGTCAACCCCTTAGTATGAAGTTTTTTAGCGGACAAAATATCTGAAATGTATCGATCGAGTTTATACGCTATAAATTGATGTTATGTGCTATACATTGATGTTATGTGCAAATACATCGATGTCATAAACCGATACAACTAAAAGGTAAACCGATACAACTAAGAGATAAACCGATACAACTAAAAGATAAACCGATACAAATAAAAGACGAGCGACGTACAGCAATGGCGTCTCTTTGGCTTCCTAATACAGAAAACATTTTTCGTGAATTGGTTGATTTAATAAGAAATGCTGAACAAAGTCGCACTCATTGTGACTCGCCAGACTTTTATTGTCGTAGATTAGAAGAATATGAACGCAAATTGAGTGTTTTAACAACAAGAATCACCGAATCATAAACAACGGAGCAGTTTTTAATCAACAATCTACATATACTATGCACTTATTTAAATAGTTTACGAAATGAATTCGACGTTATTGTTGAAAATTATGAACGGACCTCAGAGCGCTTTTCAGTAGAAGAGTCTTACGATCGTGCGGTTTGTACGGCGGAAAGAAACGTGCTCGTTGGTAGGCCAAGAATACAATTTTTAAGTTTAGATATAGGTAATGAGAACCACATTGGTGTCCTAGTAATAAATTTATGCCACAATAGTCTCTAAATGTTAGATCAAAAATGTAGTGCGAAATATGATAGTGTGAGGCCTCGTGTTGTTGGCACAATTTACGCTTGTGAAAATAATGTTGTATTTGATAAGCCTGAGAATAAAAAATAAAAACACAAACCGCACGATCTACACAAACCGCACGATCGTAAGACTCTTCTAGTGAAAAGCGGGGTCCGTTCATAATTTTCAACAATAACGTCTAATTCATTTCGTAAACTATTTAAATAAGTACATAGTATATGTAGATTGTTGATTAAAAACTGCTCCGTTGTTTATGATTCGGTGATTCTTGTTGTTAAAACACTCAATATGCGTTCATACTCTTCTAATCTACGACAGTAAGTCGCTTAACAGATCCAAATTGCATCTGAATAAGTTAGGATCTTCTACTTTAGCTAAAAACTTTTAAATTATTAGTTATTTACATAATTTTTAGCCTAGGTAAAGTTCCAACTCTTTACAGCAAAATTTCCGATACCGAACCAAAAGGGCCAAGTTGCTCCATTGAGAAGATTATTCCACAAACAAAGTGTGAAAATAGCATTACATTTTTACAATCTTTGAAAGGATTTAGAGTTGGGCATTTAAACATCGCTTCGTTAGTCATTCATGTTGATGAATTAAAAATATACTTGGAAAAAGAACCACTGGATATTTTGAGCATTAACGAAATTCGTTTGGATGAAACAATTAGTACAGATACTGTTAGTATACCCGGTTACGACATGGTTGCCAAAAATCGTAATCGGCAAGGAGGCGGTGTTGCAATTTACCATCGCAGTATTTCGAACGTAATTGATAGAGATGATTTAGTCCCAGAGGACGTCGAGGCTGTTTGCCTCGAAATTATTAAGCCTAAATCTAAACCTGTCTTAGTTGCATCTGCATATAGGTCACCGAATTCGCAAATTGAATTCCTTGATAAAATTGAAGTATTATTTCAAAACCTTGACAACGAACATAAAGAACTAATTATCGTTGGCGATTTAAATTGTGATTTTTTATCCAACAATTTAAGCAATCACACTAAACGTTTTAATGATATAGTTAATATATTCCAGCTGACACAGTTGATTGACCAGCCTACACAAATTACCGAAAAAACAGCTTCTCTTTTGGATGTCGCTCTTGTAAACAATCCTGAAAAGATTTCGCACTCAGGAGTATTGCATGTTGGAATAAGTGACCATAGCTTGATCTACGTTTGTAGAAAAATTTCGTTTGTAAAAAATGATCCCAAATTTGTTGAGTCAAGAAATTTTAAAAACTACACAGCGAGACTTTAACCAAGACTTATACCATGCTTTATCTAATTTAAATTGGGAGATAAATGATCCAAATATGCTTTGGGAGAACTTTCAAACAACATTCAATTATGTTGCTGACATTCATGCTCCACTTCAAAGCCGTAAAGTTAGAAACAGAAAGGCACCGTGGCTGACTGATGCAATTAAGAAAAGTATGAATCGCCGAGATTATCTCAAGAAGAAAGCTATTAAGACAACCTCAACTGCATGCCACAATGCTTACAAAAGTCTTCGCAATGAGATTAACAAAAAAATTATGTATGCAAAGCGAGATTATTACACAAACTGTGTTGACAGAAACAGAAATAATACAAAGCAAATGTGGAAACATATTAATCAGTTAGTTAATAAAAATTCTAGATCAACAAATATATCAGTACTACAAATAGACGAACAGGTTATTACTGAAAATGAAACCAGTATAGCTGATTTGTTCAATGAATATTTTACTGATATAGGACCAAATCTGTCGAACCAGATCACAGAAACTAACACTGATTTTACACGTTATATGAAATTTAAAACTCAACATAAGTTCAGTTTCGAAAACATTAATATCAATGAAGTGTTAAATGCACTGGAGAAATTAAAGACGTCTAAGTCAACTGGACATGATAATATCCCAGCCAAACTTTTGAAAGATGCGAGTGATGCCGTGGCGCCTTTTTTAGTATTTATTTTTAATACTTCACTCAAACATGGAATTTTCCCTGATGATCTTAAGACTGCAAGAGTTTCTCCAATTCATAAATCTGGTGACAAAAAAAATCGAGGCAATTATAGACCGATTTCCATTCTTTCGATTATTGCTAAATTATTTGAGAAACTTGTCTGTACACAGCTCAATTCCTTTTTAACTGAAAATAATATTCTGAGTTCGTGTCAGTCTGGTTTCCGTAAAAATTATTCCACCGCATCAGCCATTTTAGCAAATACGGATTCATGGTTACTTAACATGGATGCTGCGATGATAAACGGAGTACTTTTTCTGGACTTATGTAAAGCATTTGATACGGTTGATCACGGAATTCTCGTAAGTAAATTATCTATCTATGGAATCCAAAATAAGGCCTTAGATTGGTTTAAATCTTATTTGCATAACAGAACGCAATACTGCAGGGTGAACAGTGCAACATCGTCCACCAGGAAAATACGTTGTGGGGTTCCCCAGGGGTTGAACCTTGGTCCCCTTTTGTTTTTATTATACGTCAATGACCTGCCAAATTGCTTGGATAAATCCTGTCCGGCAATGTATGAAGATGATACAAATCTTACAGTATGTTCAGATAGCATTAATAATTTGGAGGAAGCACTAAATTCTGAAATGAAAAGTATTCACCAGTGGCTTCTTTCAAACAAACTAACTTTAAACATTGAAAAAACAGAATACATGATCATTGGAACTCGTCAAAGACTAGCTAAAATTCAAAAAAATACCAGCGTATCATGCGGGGGGAAACTATTGAAACAGGTTTATTCCAAAAAGACTTTAGGTGTACTGGTTGATGACAATCTATGTTGGAATGAGCAAATCGACAACATCAGTAAAAAGGTATCGAAGGGCATTGGTATGCTGCGCCGTGCAAAGCCATTTGTCTCTCTTGAAACTCTTAAATATATTTATCAGGCTTTAGTGCAACCGAGTTTTGATTACTGCTCCATGGTTTGGGGAAACTGTGGCGAAGGTTCAAAAGAAAAGCTACAGAAACTGCAAAACCGTGCAGCTAGAGTAATCACAGGTGATACCTATGAAATTCACTCCACGGATATTTTAAAGAAATTAAATTGGAGAACACTTGAAGAGAGAAGAAAGGAGCAAAAATTAGCATATGTGGCCAAGGCCCTTTCAAACCAATGTCCTGAAAACGTTTCAACTATGTTTAAAATCTCAAATTCTGATAAATATAATTTAAGAAGTAATAACAGGATGCTGATGTTGTTGAAGCCTGAAACAAATTCAATGAAATGGACATTCTGATATGCTGCTGCTGCTAAAGACTGGAACTATAATAGTAAAAATTTTAAATCTACTTACTTAACGTATCGCTTCGACCCAAACATTTCTTAGTATCTTTTAATATTTTTATAATAGTTTATATAATAGTATCTCGAGTTTTAATTTGTATTTAGTAACACGGCCTAATGAAAAACAACCTTTATAATTTTTGTAAATACTGATAGGTAATATGGTTTATTAGTTACCGTGTATAAAGATGTTGTAATAATAATAATAATAACAATAAAAGTCTGGCGAGTCACAATTAGTGCGACTTTGTTCAGCATTTCTTATTAAATCAACCAATTCACGAAAAAAGTTTTCTGTATTAGGAAGCCAAATGCGTGGTCCAAGAGACGCCATTGTTGTGCGTCTCCGCGTCGCTCAGTTTCCGTTTTTCCGATTTACTTCCGCTTCCTCATCTTTTATTGGTATTTACTTCCGTTTCCTCATCTTTTATTTGTATCGGTTTATCTTTTAGTTGTATCGGTTTATCTTTTATTTGTATCGGTTTATCTTTTAGTTGTATCGATTTATCTTTTAGTTGTATCGTTGTATTTGCACATGACATCACTGTATAGCACATAACATCAATTTATAGCGCATAAACTCGATCGATACATTTCAGATATTTTGTCCGCTAAAAAATTTCATACCTTAGACATATCAAGATATTATTCCAGAAAACAATGCAATTTAATATAATCTCTTTATTAAACGGATTAGACCTTACGTATCGTTCGATTCTTCGTTTTGCGATCGAAATTAAATTATGCCAGATAATTTCCTCAAATTGTAGTTCCTCGCCTGAACAATTGAGCTGAAATCTGAATCCATACATTCATAAATACCACTGTAGACTTTGTAATTTGTAAACATTTGGCTGCTTTGAGCGGGCGATTCAAAATTTGCACGTCGTTTTTAGACCGCAAGAGACATTGCGATATAATCCTTTCAATTGACCAACTAATTTTCGTATACCTGAATACTAGCTTCAACGCATTATATAAACACATATATTTTTTAGTTAAAGTTTTTAATATCGGCAAGCTTCGCTCCTCCGCCGAAGATTTCAAACTGAATATATAATTAGGGTCAAAAGCCTACTTCGGGGGTGGTGTAACGTACCACGGCCACTAAGATTCTATTTTGTTCGATTTATGGCAGGCCTCTCTCCCAGAAAATTTTTTTTTTTTCAAAACCCATTCGCAGGCTAAAACCCAGTAGAGAGGAGGAGGCTAATTTGGAAGCACGACCAAAACAATATGGCGCCACTTTCGGCCGCGTTTGAAAATTGTTAAAGGAAACAACTTAAAATATATAATCAAGAAATATGTTTTTGTTAGAAAACAGCCATGAAATTATGAATGAAAGGAGGAAGGTTTTGGAAAACCCCCCGCTTATTATTTCAACCAATTATCCAGTGTATAATGGTGTTCGTCGATCCCTTGCTTGGGAAAATTTGGAGATAAGACGATGTACAACCAAATCAATACTGTTGTACAAAATCTCAAATGATGTTAACAACAATTTGATATTATACCTTATTTCTGACCAATGGGAATTTTGCGTACGATTCGTACGTACACTGTTATTTTCAGGGAGTTAAAATAACTCCGGAAAAGGGGGTTAGCGAAAAAGGTTCAAAATAATCCGTTTTTGGGGGTTAGAAATAACTCCATTTCTTGGGTTAAAATGTAACTCCACTTTTGGGGTTAATCTAACTCTCATATTGGAGTTAAAATCTAACCCCTATTCAGGAGTTAAATCATTTTAACTCCATTTCAGGAGTTAAACCAGCACTCTTGAAGACTTTTCCTCATCTTTTTTAATTATTTTACACCTTTTTAAAGTTATGAAAACCAAAACTATGCCATCGAAAAACATCACTCAGTTTTCATAACATTAAAAATTGCGTAGAAATAATTAAAAAACGAGGTAAAATCTGCCAAGAGCGTTAGTTTACGCGGAACGCTT